GGTGCGGAAGAAAGTTATCTCTAGTTAATATAACTCCATTTGTTCCAATATAGTTGTTGTTTTTTTTATTTTTTTCTCTAAATTAAAGATTTGAAAAAAATTTATATATTTACTTATATTATCCATGTATTTGTTTGAGTTGAGGGGAATGAAGGGTAGGGGAAAGGAGAGGATAGTTTTTTAATTAATTAAATTATAATATTTTTAAATATTATAATTTAATTAGGTAAAAAAATCTTTCCCTTCTCTCTTCTTCTTTTCATTTTTCTCAAACCAAGTATAATGTTAAAAAAAAATGCTAAAAGACAAAGCAAAACTTTGTGTGATAGAATAATTAATCAAAAAAAATAGATAATGATAAGGTTAAAACAAAAAAATATTTTTTTAAGGATAATTAATTTGAGATAAACTTAAAGTAAAAAAATGATTATTAGTTATTTTGGGATGAAGAAAATAGTTGATAACTTCTGACTTAAAGTTTATTTTAAATTAATTGCAATTTTTTATTTTTAAGATAGGTAAATAATTTTTTTAACATTAACCTTATTATTATCTATTTATTTTAATTAATCATCCAATCATAAACATATCTCTTTATCTTTTATTTCTTTTTTAAAGGCATTATAAATAAATATATATTATTCCCCAATCCTTAATTAAAAAAAAGAAGAAGTAAAAAGCAACAATTATTTTGAAAACTTATGAAATAATATTCTGTTTTCATTGGCAATTATTATTCGATTATCCAATTGTTCATTAGATTTACCAACCGGTAAATTTATTTATTTATTTATGCTTCTTTAATATCACCTCTTAATTTTAAAAAAATAAAAGGATTTTATTCTTGAATTTTTTTGAACTAGGGATTTGTACATGGATGAGGGTTTTGATATGTGTGAGAGAAAATATTTGTCTAATTTTTCTGGTAATTATCCTGTGATTGAGGCAAAGGATAAGAGATTGGATAATTGAGAATTAGGGAGATTTTTGTAGCTAAATTATAGGGATAGGATGGTCCAAATAGAGTTTTAAAATTTAAAAACAACTGTCAATGACTCAATGATAATTTTCTTTCGCTGAAAGTAACAGATATTAAATTTAAATCGTATGGTATACGGATAGAATAGGATAAATGATGAAAGATAATTGGTTCCTATTGTACAATCAACATAAAAAAAAAGAGTAAATAAATAAAAACAGTTACTAAAGGCAGCTGTTGCAGCATGGAGCCCTTAGGAAGACAGATAGCTCATGGCCGTTAAAGATAAAAAATTGAGATATAATTGTTTTTATAACTTTTTATATGGTTGTTAAAAATCAACTACAGTAGTAATTTTTGAAAAAAATTTTGATTTGATTTTCAAATTAAGAATTTGAAAACTATTTATATTTATATTTATATTTATTTTAAAAAATAAAATAAAGAAACTTTTATATGATAACATAGATAATTAAAATTAAAATAACAAAAAAAATATGTTTTTCTTACCATATGAAATAATAAGATAGAAAAAATAATTATTATTTTGAGACAAATGAAGTTTATAGTATTACAATATTTAATAATTGAATTTTTTTATTTTATTGAAATTCATAATATTATATATATTATAAAAATATATATAAAATATTTATTCATACAACATGAATGCTTGCTTTTAATCTTGTGACCCAATTATTATAAATTGAATTGCAAAGTTTACTCTTAATCTAATGATTGAGGTTCAAATCCTTCTTCTCAAATATTATAAACTCGTTCAAAAAAAAAAAAAAAAACATGACTGCTCAGAATTTTTATCTAAATTTTAATAAACTATTTAGTTTGAGGGGGAGTGTAGGAGCATGAGTATAATTATTTTGTTACAGGGAAAAAAAAGGTGAAAATAATGATACGTGAGTTATTAATTTTTTATTTAAGATATAAGTTTAAAGAACTTAAAAATCAGATGATAAATTTTGATTTTTTTTTAAAGATACATATATTATTTTTTTTCCTGTTTAAAAACTTATTAAATGGCCATGATAATTGCATTTGGGTTTCCGGGCTCAGTAACCTTAGAGTACGTATAAATGCATTCTCCCACCTTAAACAAACAACTGTTTAAATTCGATTCTTTGTGAATTTGTTAAAAAAAATAAAATGGCCATGATAACTGGATAAATTGCCACTTAATTTAATTAACTGAAATAAAGCCACATCTCTCCTTTGTTTTCTCGAACCAAACAGCCTAAAAAAATTCAGCCATTGGAAAAGCAGCCATGGCTGGCCCCAACTAATGAAACAAAAAGTCTCTTTTGCATAGAGTCCAAGTGGGAGACCTTAACAATTACTGGTAACATTGTAAGTCCCCTGTTCTGATTCGTAGGGGATCATAAATAACTTCCTTCTTCCTTCCTCTGCAACGAGCCCCGTCCCGCTCGGCCCCTTACAAAACCTCTTCTCTTTTATCCACCATTTCTTCCTCCTTCTTTGTTTCTCACGTCTGCTATCTTTCCATTGCCCATTTTCCAAAAAAAAAAAAAAAAAATCTGCTATCTCTCTCTCTATGCGTCCACCTTTCTTCAACTTTCTCAGTTTCTTAAAGGTACAATCTTTCCCTCTTTCACTTTCTTGATTCTTCTGCAATCCATTGTTTCTCAATTGTTTACCCGTTTTCAAGAAAACCCCACAATTTCTTTTTCTCTTTCTTTCTTCCCAACAAATTTGGTGGGTTTTGCGAGTAGTCACTGTACTGGGGTTTTACGGGTTCGGTGGTTGGTTCTACAAGGGCGGTTTTGTTCAGAAAGGGAAATGAGCAAAGATGTTGTCGTGGTTGGGAAACGTTGCTTTTGCTTGCTGCAGACCAGATCCAATCGTCCGTATTATGAACATGGATGATGATGATAAAAGGCTCGACGCTTCCTCCCTCGCTTCTCTATTCTGGGGTAGAGATCTTGGCAAGCATTCCTTTGGCGATTTCTCAATCGCCGTGGTACAAGCTAATGATGTCATCGAGGATCACAGCCAGGTCGAGACGGCACAAGATGCTACCTTTGTTGGAATCTATGATGGGCATGGCGGTCCGAACGCGTCTCGCTTTGTATCCAAGCATCTCTTTCACAATTTGTTCAGTCAGTGCTTGCTTGTTCCCTTTCCAATTCAGCTATTTCTTCCTTGTAACCCTACTTTCTTTTCCATTATCTAGCTTTGTATTGGCTTCAACTAATTTCTTTTAGAATGCATCATGTGTATCATTCAACAGGGCTTGCACTGGAAAAAGGAACCATTTCTGAAGATGTTCTCAGGCGTGCTGTTATCGCAACTGAAAATGAATTTCTTGCTCTTGTACGGAAGACATTTGGTACAAATCCATTGATCGCAGCAGTTGGGACTTGTTGTCTGATTGGAGTTATTTGGGAAGGAACGCTGTATGTTGCTAATTTGGGTGATTCTAGAGCTGTAATTGGTTGTTTGGGCAAATCAAAGGTGGTGGTTGCTGAGCAGTTGACTAGAGATCACAATGTGGGTTTGGAGGAGGTCAGAGAAGAGGTCAGGTCATTATATCCGCATGATCCAAGCATTGTGGTTGAAGAGGGTGGCACATGGCGTGTTAAAGGCTTACTTCAGGTCAGTTATTAGATGGTTCCTTGTTTTCTGCTATGATCCACCTGCATCACTGCACGCTTTATGGCATTCCCTGTACCATCTTTACATAAATAACAGTAGTCCACATTACTGGTTCAAATATGTTGACTCTCGAGCAGAATTGATTTGTGAATCTGTGATGGAAAAATTACCGAAAGATTAAAATCCTGAATCTCCATGTCCAATCCTGACAATCTTCATGTACTTTCCTTTCCTGGTTTGAGTTGTAATAGTGGGCCAAGCATACTTGCATATATGGATGTCTTAGCAGGTGTTTCAGGTCTAAAGATCAAAAGAATGACGATTACCTATTTGATATCCTTGGTTCCAGGTACTTGGTAGCTTGAGACCTCATGAATAAAATTACCCTCATAACTGGAAATATGTGGTGGGATCATTTTTTGGGAAGATCTAATCTTGTACACAATCCTGTCTCCCCTCATTTGGGACTCTAGCATGATGATTTACCTCCTCTCATTTAGGGCTTATATGACATTATTCATTGAATTTGAATTTACTAGAATGCAAAATGTTAAGCTTGCAACTTTCTTATGCTGTGTTTTTCCATGGATGGTATAAGGTATCTAGAGCTATTGGTGATGCATTCATGAAGCAGCCTGAGTATTATCGTAATCCTCTAATCAACGCATATTACCACATCCCTGAACCCTTCAACCGACCAGTTGTAACACCAGAGCCATCATTGAATAGGAGGGTTTTACAACCCAGTGATAAGTTCATCATTTTTGCATCTGATGGGCTTTGGGAATTTTTGACAAACCAGCAGGCTGTTGATATTGTGGTTCAATACCCGCGAGCAGTAAGTACTTCCTTTTCACTTCTGCATGTTCTATATGGTTCTTTTTCCATTTTCTAATGATTCTACCTTAAATTCTCTGTTTAAATTTTAAAAAATCTCAGGGTATTGCTAAAAGACTTGTTGAAAGAGCTTTAAGAGAGGCAGCAAAGAAGAGGTGGATGCACTTTAATAAATTTATGAAGCTTCCAAAAGGGAAAAGGCGGGAGTTCCATGATGATATCACGGTTGTTGTCATCTTTATTGACCCTGAGTTGCTGGAAAGAGAGGCATTTGCACCAGAGCTTTCAGTAAGTGGGTTTAGTGATGTTGTTCGACCATCAAGTTTCAGCGTTATGGAAGTGGAAGAGCACGATTCAAGTTCATCACTGGAGCTGATCTTTGAAAGTGTGGAAGACTAGGTTGAGGAAGCTTCTATCCCTACTCGAGCTACATCATCTGAAGCAACACCTACTCAGGAGGCATGATACGTTGAATTGTAATTGTGGAAAACCAGGTTCTGTAAGGTTTTGACCATACCAGCTTTTATTTCAAGGCAGCTGATTGTTGATTCCCCGGCTTTTATTTTTTTGGCCTTGCTTACCAAGTAAGCCTGCATAAAAAATTGAGGCTTTTTTGGATGAATATACTCTGAGCTCTCCTATTAAATGTTCATTTATTTTAGCATATATATTCTGTTTACTGTGATGATTACATTCAATGATGATAACCTCATAGCTATAACAAGCTGTGAATATTCTTTTTCAGTTCTTTCTCTTCCATACGTGGAGTCTGTAGGTTAATAATAAATAGCTTTATGAAAAAAAGCTTGTTGTTGGCTCCCCAATCAAAGCATAACAAAAAAACAAAAATGTCATAACAAAAATTGTTGCTGGTTTGAATTGTAAAGGCAAAACCCTTCTTTAAGGTCTCAAACTTATCTTAAAATAGCATTTAAGCTTTTAAACAAAAAGGGTAGATAAACCTTCCAAGTTTACTAATGATGGAAACAAACTCTTCTCATTTATGGGTGTTCATGCTTTCAATGTGATATTAAACATAAAATATCATTTGGTCCGTTTGTGAGAGGGGTCTATTTGTATCATGGTCATGGTTGACAGGTTTTCTAAAATGGCTCACTTTATTGCTTGTCAGAAAACTGATGATGCTTCTCTCATTGCTGAGTTTTATTTTAGAGAGATTGTGCGTCTACATGGAGTTCCAAAAACCATTACTTCAGATAGAGATGTGAAGTTCATGAATCATTTTTGGAGGACTTAATTGAGAAAGATGGGGACTTAACTCCAGTTCAGTTCTGCTAGCCATCCCCAAACCAATGGGCAAATTAAAGCTATCAATAAGATTTTGGGGAATCTACTATGAAGTTTTGTGGGAAAGAATTTGCGACAATGGGATCTTGTGCTTGCCCAAGCTGAGTTTGCCTACAACAACTCTTCGAATCAAGCTACAGGAAAATGCCCATTTGAAGTAGTATATGGAGTGCATCCTCTCAGTCCTTTACATCTTGCTCCATTGCCCACATCTCGACAATTTAGTGCAGATGCTGAACAACGAGCCAAGGAGATCAAGAAACTTCATGAAGAAGTTCGTGAGAAGTTACAACGTCAAACCATTAGGTATAAGGGTCATCATGACAAGCACCGAAATAAGGTTGTGTATAAAGAAGGAGATTGGGTTTGGATACAACTTCGAAAGGAAAGGTTTCCTAATCGACCAAATGTCAAACTCTCCCTTAGAGCAGATAGTCCTTTTCAGATAGTGGAGAAAATCAATGATAATGCCTATAAGATCAAACTTCCAGGTGACTATGGAGTCTCTGTTACTTTCAATGTCACTAACCTATCTCCTTACTATGAGGATCATAAGCATTGAACTCAAACTCGAGAACGAGTTTGCTCCAACTAGGGGAGAATGCACCAGGGGAAAGCACCAGGAAAGTGCACTAGGATTGCAAGTCAGCAAATTTCAAACTACACTATAGCAACTCTACAGACTACAAATAGGCCGATGCAATTTTGTCAAAAATGGCCACTAAATTCCACAAAGACGGCTAACTCTCAACTGCATTTTTACTTTTCATTTATTTCCTTGTGTTAGATTTTGCCTATAAATAGCTATGTTCCCTTCATTGTATGATAAGTTTTATCAATTTAATCAAGTTTCAATTCTCCTTTGTTTGAGTGAGTTTCTTGAGAGTGGATTCTCTCAATTTATCTCTGTATCTTAGGTCTTGCCAACCTAAGTGGTGAACCTGTAAGTGGTGAACCTGGTAATCAAATTCATCGTAGTGGGATTTTAAATCTCACCAAAATCAGTGTTTCGGTATCGACTCCTGCGCCAGGTCTATTTGTATTGTTAGTGGAGTTGGAGGAAATTTTAGTTTAAGGGCTTAAATGTTATTTTAGAATAAGTTTGGGGGTTTAAGAAGTGTTTTTGCCAATTGTAAAATAAGAAACTCATAACAAAAATTTTACCGAGCAAAATGAACATGTAAAAAGTTTTTATTTCTTAAAAAATCCTCAAGTGGCTTCGCATGTGCAGAAATTTGGTTGTACACATACCACTTACTTTTCTAAAAGGTAAGAAAAAAGGATTTTCTCAACGACTTTCTTTTTTTGCGCGGTCGACCTTTGTTAGGATAATTCGAAGAACGTTGGTTTAAGACTGAGTTTTGCACCTTTCAGACGATTTACAAGAGGGAGGGATGCCTTCCTACAGAATGAGTTGCTAATCTGTTTTGGACAATCTCAAGGATTTTACCACTACCTTAAATTTAAGTTAATAGATCCAAAATGAACTGAATGAGATGAAAATTAAAATAAACTTGATGTTCATTGCATGAAAGAAAATCAAAGAAGCAATTACACAAACTAATTTGGGTACTTGAATGCTGAAAACAACTTAAATCTATTGGGATCTATGCTAAAACTGAAATATGAAAGCTAAGATGAGCAATCATTACGAAACTAAAAAATTGAAAATTTGATGAGTTTCTGTGTAGGGTTGGCCGTGTATCCTCAGAAAATTTAGAAAGCTTCTATTTATATGTGTCTTGTGGACTGTCTCTTGGCTAATCAGATCACAGATAACTTTCTCCCAAATTTTAGGGATTATTATTACTTTAAAATTTAAGCTACAACAAATTGGATAACCTTTATCCTTTCAACCAACTTTACAAATATATATCCCTTTAGTAGATTTAATCTCATTTTATCCCTTTGACACGTGGCATTATTAAAAAAATGTTTAATGGTGTACACAGTTTTATTTTGTCTGGCATTAATCTTTAGATATCTGGTAATCACATTGAGTCTCAATTAATTTAAAATTGAGTCACGTCGGACAAACTTTCTCAACATATGTTTCTCCATTCATAAGACTCGAATTTGAGATCTTGTTTAAA